AGAGTGGACGGGGGCGCCGAGGCGGGCCCGCGTTTGCGCCTTAGCCCGGCCGCGCCATTTCGTGTGCTCAAATCGCGGGTCTCCGCCATCTTGGCCATGTTTTTTTAGCGCGGGGAGGGGTGACGCTGTGGTGCCGGGGTTTTGAGTTTTCAGCCTCGAGCCAGCTACGTAGTCCAGGCTGCTGGGCTTTGTTGTACAACCTGGGCTTGGGGAGGCGGGTTTTGGAGCTTGCGTAGGGACAGACACTGGGTACCGAGGAAGAACCGGGAGTGGGGTCCCTGGGTGAATTACTGCGTTTCGGAGAACTGGGTAGCGGTACCCTTGTTGTTTTGTGCCGTCCAGACGCATAGCGAGTCCGTAGGACGGAGTAGAACTGCCCTGTAGGATTCCCAAGACCGTAATTTATACGGAAGCAGACTGCCACATCTTCCTCCCACTTAGGGACTGCTGGGCTCGAACCGCCGAACTTTTGGTTAGCAGCTGTAGCTTTTAACCGCTGCACCACCAGGGCTTCGTAGGCGTCTCCTTGCCCGGCTGCCTACTGCAGTAGAGTGGATTCCGACTCATCGCCCCTATAGGACAGAGTAGAACTGCCCCGGAGGGTTTCCGAGGAGCGGCTGGTGGATTCAAACTGCTGACCTCTTGGTTAGCAGCCTGACCTCTTAACCACTGCACCACCAGGGCTCCAGTGTAAAATAACAAGTTTCGTTTTATGAAAACGGAGTTCTGTTAGCCACGACATTAAAGGTCCCCGTCTTAAATACTGGTAGAAACCTGTTGAAACAAGTAGCCTATAGGTAGGCTTTGAACTATACCCTTTAGAAGCGGCTTGTTTTGTTTCACATAATGTATCTGGGTGATCCAGTTAACTGAAACCGCTGTTCATTTCTTTCATAAAACAAATAATGAACATGTTCTGTTTGCAGAAACTCCAGGGGTTTTGTGCCCGTGACTCACTCATCTTGTGATTGTTGTATAACTGTTTAGCAAGGTTTTTGTTCAAACTTTGATAATGTTTTGAACACATTGTTCTGTCCAGTCAGAAATTTTCTTCAAAGTTCCTGATAAAATTGTAGTTGTTGTGTGCCATGAGGTCGATTCCAACTCATGGCGACCCCATGTGACAGAGTAGAACTGCCCCATAGAGTTTTCCTGGCTGTAATTTTTAAAAGTAAATTTCACGTTTCACCCAAAATAGTTAACACTTGTGTCTTTAAAATGATGTTTTTCTCCTTACCTGCGTGAGATCATCCCCCTTAACAGTAACAGTTTTTAAAAAATGATGTCATCGAATACCGATTTCCTGTTCAGTTCTTGGGTCATCCCCAAAATGTCCTTCACAGCTGAACCTTGTTGAAGTCAAGTGTTGCCGTGTGTCATACTGCTTACGTCTTAGGTTTCTTTTCATCTACCGTGGCCGCTGCCTCTCTATCCTCTCCAGTCTGTTCTTTGCGGGATTTTCATCTTAGCAGCTTTCCCTGGTAAGCATAGCCAGTGCTGAAAATCTGCAAAACTAGGCAGCGGGGACACGGGGGTCCTCTTCATGAAGGGAGTTTGGAGGCCCATCCCATGAAGACAGTTCCTTCCCCTCTGCCCTCCCTGGATTGTAATGGGGGGATGCCATGGGGGGAGATATCTTGGTGTCCCCATGGGGAAAGCTGCAGTCATTCATATCCTTTTGATAGCGTCTCAGCTTTGATATCTTGGCCTCTGTCCCTGAAGGTGAGAGGCCTTGGTACCTGGCTGCAGAGGTCCAGGGCCCCCGTGATGTCTTGCACTGGGCTCCGATCACCCCTGAGGACACAGTGCCCCCCAGGACCTTGATACCTGGGGATCTGAGGGGCCCTGGCTCCGGGGAGAGTACTGACGGTTCCTGGGCCCCTGGACCATTTCTTGCGCCCTCACCAAGTCCTTCCTGTGTTACAGGTGCATCTTGAAGCTGAGGGGCCATCCAGCCACCCCCGTCTTGGTAAGAAGCCTCACTCCCACTGCCTGTCCCACCCAGGCCTTTGGGCAGCTTCACATCAAGTATCTCTGGGATCTAATTATGTGTTAGCAATCATACTCAGGACTAACCTACATAAACCATCTTGTTTATAGCTGTGGAAACCCAGTCACGGGCCTGGATCCAAATCCCAGATCTTCTGTTTAAGGGCTTGGAGATGTTGGTCATGTGATGGCTCTCCTGAGCCTCAGTTTCTTTATCTGTAGATTGGGCACGCTTCATCAGGAGCAGATGGGCCGGAGTCCTCTCTCCAGTGGGGTGGGGGTTAGTGATGTTTCTTGCCTTGCAAAGGTAGGGATTAAATAAGATAAGGAATACACGTGCTATGGAAGAAAGATGTTTAAGACATTTGGTGGTGGTTAGGTTTCTGGTAGGAGCCTTGGTGGTGCAGGTGGTTAAGCGCTCGTCTGCTCACTGAAAGACAGTAGTTCACACTCACCCAGTGGTCCTCGGGAGAAAAACCTGACAGTTTGCTCCCATAAAGATTATAGTCTAGAAAACTCTATGGGGCAGTTCTACTCCTGTCGTATGGGGTCACTATGAGTTGAAAATCGACTTAGCGGCACCCAACCATAGGTTTCAGGGAAAAGAATCTAATTTTAAAATGCAACAGTGGAAACAAAACAATAGCTTAGCTAACATACCACGTTGAGATTTTGTAGACTGAATACAGCGTACTTTCAGACACAGCTTAGGTTCCAGTGACTTGTTTATGTCAACGGATGTAATTATTAAAGCTATCCCTAATTTACATACGGCCTTGGTTAAAATAGCACAGTTTGTCTGGAGACTGTTTCGCGAGTGTTTTGAAGAGGTGCATTATAAACAGGCGTGTCTGTCTTACCGGAACAGAAACAAGTTTTTTCAGCTCAGGGAGGATTTTTATTTGTTCTTGTGTGTCAGCAGTGGGGGAATAATGGCTTCATTGAAATGGATCTGAAAATGTCTCCCTGAAGAGTCCTGGGGGCGCAGTGGTTAAGCACTCAGCTGCTAACCAAAAGGTC